TTTCAGGGCTTCACTTGCCTTTTTTTATGACTGTCACACTGGCAGCTGATGGACCAGAACTAATGCATCTGGGACCTCCTGCCACTTCCAGCAGCAAAGTAGCAGAAACTGCTGAATTCCAGCATTGTGAAATTAAATCCTATTAAGTTTCCACTCCCCTCATCCAGGATGAACTTTGGTTTCTCTGTTGGTGTTTGTCTTTCCCTGCCATGGCAGCCTTTCTCAAGTCTTTGTCCATCATCAGTATCTTTCTGTTTTTGTCAACTCCTTCTCAATGTACTAATCCCAAAGCTAATCTGGGAGATATTTTTCTAGAAATCTGCCTTCTGCCCAGTATTTCTCATTTAAGTGCCACCTGCTTTCTTGTTGCTCATGACCTTTACAGTTCCCCTTCTAAATTTCATCTTCTCTGACTGAAGAGGATGAAATCCTTGTTTCCTGTGCAGTGTTGTCTCTCTAGCACTGTGTGTATCTGGGTGAGGATCTACCACACAGGCTTGATGTACAGAAACAACTTATTTACAGACAAGTTTGTATGGGTATGAACTGTGTCTGGTTAGTGCCATGTTGATTTTCATTGTAAGTTATTTATTATCCAGTTGCACCCACATGTTTTAATTGCTTTCTTTTCTTCAGACTGTTTTCTAAAGCCTGGGTAATGCTGATGTCAGCCTAGCAGGCTTGTTGCTGCCTGAATCTTGTCTCCAAGCCAAACTCTTCAATTCACACACTGGATTTGCTGTTGTGGTTGCAGAGAACCTCCCTCCCTTTTTAAGAGTCTGTGCAGCCAAAGCAGCATATTCTTTCACTTCTTCTTCCAGAAGTCTGGAATAGGCATGATCCAGTCTTTCCCTCACCTCACACATGTCTGGCTGTCTTTGCAATCAGCTAGTACACCTAAATATTCACAGCTTTAAAATCTATTCCATTTTCCAAGGACAGCTGGCAAGACATTGAAGCCCCAGATCCTGCTGTGGTGTTGATGTCACACTGCAAGAGAGTGTCTTCAGCTGTGGTGGGACAGCACTGAAATCTGGGGTACAGGAGGGAAGAAAGGAAAAAGTGTGGTGTCTTTTTAAGCTCCAAAAGAAAGTCTGAGAGCCCTTGTAGCACGGGAGACTCAAAAATGTGCCTGAGCTTCCTCTCAGGCTCATCTTACTCAGTGATTTCTGGTCAATGTCTCTGCCTTAGCATAGAGGTTTTGGTCTCCTGCTCCACATCACTCCCATTCCCTTGCCTCATACTTTGAAGATTTAAAGGACAAATGTGATACTTCCTTCTGCCTGTGTCAGTGAAAACCACTTCAGATTTGGATCACAGACATGCACTGTGTTGATACTTCTCACCCAAACAGAGATCCTGCTGTTGCCAAGGGTTGGTGTTTTTTCCCCTTTAGAAAGCTGATATGCCTTGGCTGAGTGATGTCCCCACTTTCAGAGGCAATTGTGGCAATGCTAAATTTCCAAGGATTACCACTGCATGTGGTGGAATCTGGGAACCTCAGTAACAAGCTATAAAGTCAGGAGAAAATCCAAGATGCGAAGATCTTGGCAGCTCCTCCACAATGGAATATCCTGCTGTACTCAGGGCCATGTTGCCAAAATGCAACACAAGCCATTAACTCACTCACATGATACTCCCTCCTCAACAGTCTCATTTATTTCAATATTCCTTGGCCTTCCCAAACTTTTTGGGAGTCCCAGGGGCATTCCAGAGATTGGTAAAGCAGTGGTACAGGGAATGGGATGCCTGGCACGCTCTCAGCATGAATGAGTGGAATAGGAGGGATGTGTAAATTCCAGGCAGCATCTGGCAGCAGGGAGGGCTGGGGCAGGAGTGTGTGAGCAGTGATGCTGCAGGTGCTGGGGCTGTGGGCAGGGGGTGCCCACAGCCTGGGGTCATGGGGCAGGGCTGTGTTGGGTGTCAAAGGCTGATCTTAGTGGGGTGGACTCTGTTAAATCACTGTCTCCAGCCTGCTGCTGGCTCAAGTGGGTTGCAGCAGCCCTGGCCTGCCTGCCACTGTGATCCCAGATATTTTGGGGATGCTTTGGGCACAGACAGCCTGGACTTGTCTCTGTTCACACACTGCAGCTGCTCTGACCCAGCTTTATGGAGAAAGGACACTCCATCCCATGGGACACTGCAGATGCTGCCCTCCTCCTGCTGCATCTGCCCCAGGGCTTAACCCTGGCTCCAAAGGCACCATCCTGGCCCAGCCAGGATCCCAGCTGCTTTTCTCCTCAGGATGCCATGTGTTGTGTGAGCAGACATTTCTGAGCAGGGAGACTTCCTGCAGTGGAGCCCTGTAGAAACCCAAAACCTGCTGCCAGGCCAGGCCTTGCTGTGGAGGGTTTGGCAGTGCCTGGGCAGGGATGGTGTCACCACTTTGGAGCTCACAGCCTCAGGATGCAGCCAGTGCCGAGTGCTGGTGCCTTCCCCTGCCAGCTCAGCACTCCCAGCCTCCTCCAGCTGCACGGGAGCAGCCTGGCAGGGAATTTTTTTCCATTTTTTTAAATCTCTTCCTCTTTTTTTCTGGAACTCTGTACAGCACGAGCATAGCAGGGATCCCAGGGGGTTTGCTGCTATCCAGAGAAGATGCCTTGTTCTCTGCCAGATCTTGCTCTGGGGAAGGGCTGGAGGAAATCCATTCTGCAACGTTTCTGCTGGGGCTGTTGGCAAGAGCCCTGCGAAGTGCAGCAGCCACTGGCCAGGCTGGTCCCTCTGAAAAAAAGAGGACTGAAGAGGTCAGAGCATGGCTGTGACCTGCCTGACCTCTGCTCCCTCCCCTCTTTGCTGCAGATTTGCCTTTTGTTGAGCCCAAAGAGCCTCCTGCCAAGCCAGTGCTCCTCCAAGGCTGTGACCTGACACTGCAACAGGCACTGAAACCTTTCCCTGGGACGTTTCCACGCTGCCCTGTGCAGCACCAGCATGAGCTATTTGCATTTCTAACAGCCTCAAGTCAGCCTGAACCACCCAGGGTTTGCTTCTGTCCCCATGAGAAAGGTTCTGGCTGATGCACGTGTTAATCTCAAAAACAAACGCCTCCGCATTGTCTGTACTAAATATAGGAGCAGCAAGGCACTGCCAGCAGCCCTCAGCTGGGTCACATCCAACAGGAGTTTATCAGCCCCAGCCCAAGGGGAAAGGGGCTCAAGTTCAATGCTCTCTGTTTGCAGATGTGAGCTGCAGTGAGTGGAGTTTTCAAGATCGATCTCATTCCCTGTCATTTGCAGAGGGCTGAGCCTGGAAATGTGAACCGGGGCTCCTCTGGCATGAGCATCTCAGCCCAGCACTGTATGTTGGATTTTCTGCTTATCTCCCACTGGCACAGATGCTATTTCACCCTCCTGTGGGGTTACTGATACAGAGGATTGAGGAAGAAACTGTACCTTCTTCTGTTGAGTCACATCTTGATCAATCCAGCGCTGCAGGAAGTGTCATTTCCACTGACGTGCAAGCGTACAGGCACTGCTGATGAAATTTTGTGAGGTCAGGCAGCCATTTCCTCCCTAATTACACCTCCAGGAACGAATAATGTTTAGCTGAGACCCTGGTGACTCTGTGCTTTGGTGCAGTTTTCATTTAAGCAAAATGCAAGCACATCGAAATGAACACAGGGTCTGGATTTTTCCTTCTGGTTATTTTGGTTGTACAGATGCCATCTGGGACTTGTATAACAAATGTGGGGTTGTTTGGTGACGGTCAGTGAATGAAAGGATCCAGTGCCCCAAACTGTCATGCAAAAAGCTTCTGTTAGAAACCTTCACGTTGCCAGAAATGTCTTGTGGCAGATGCTTTTTCCAGGAACTTGGAGGACTGGAAGAGCCTCCCAGGCCACAGTCTTCTGAACAATGTGTCCTATCTTCCCCTTCAGAAAAAAACATAATTCTCCATTTTAAAACTCATGGTGTGATTCCTTCTGTTGAAGGCAACTCCAGGGCTGCACAACCCCCATGGTTACAAACCTTGTCATGTGGAAATTGTCATGGCATCCTCTGCCAATGGAAGAGTCAGAGCCAAGCAGCAGAGGGTGGGTGAGTGGTGGAAGAGCTGCTTGCAAGTGTTGCTGCAAGGGAGAGCCTGTGCCCCTGCCATGGCTGGCTCCAGGTGTTGGGTTTGGGATATCCAGGCCACGTGGTTCTGTCCCCACTGTGCTGGAAACAGGTCCCTGAGGGGTCCTCAGAGGCTGAGCTGAGGCAGATGCTTCCTAGCCTGGAAGCTGGTTGCATCCCTAAATAATTTATGAGCACAAGAACTTGGCCAGCTGTCACTGATTGGGTTTCTGGTTCTGCACTTATGGCTGGCCACATCCAGCCTTGGGTTTGGTGCTGCTACAAATGGACCTCCAAAATTAAATATCTGATCTGCAGGGCAGGGAGGGGCAAGGACTGCCTGGGTGGCTGTCTGCAGCTTCAAACACCAGAGGAGATGCTGCTGGTTTAGAAGGGATGGAAAAAAATATAAATAGCAAATAAGAACTTCAATTGATTTACCAGTCAGAAAAAGCACCTGACCAGTTTGTGTCTTTGAGCCTGGAAGTGCAAGCTCTGAGCCCGTGGGGGCTCAGCACAGAGCTGCCAGTGTTGGATCTGCCCTTCATCTCTGCCAAGCACAGAGGCTGCCTCACCCCTCACAGGGCTGTGGCAATGCTGGCAGGGTCCTGTCTCCTCTGGGTCATTCCCTCAAAGATATGGCCTGGACAAAGTGGCATTTCCCAAAAGCAGATGGATCAAACTTTTCCTAGTTGCTCTTGAAATTGTAATTGTTACCTTTATTTATGGTGTTTTATTTGATAAAAAATAGGTCTGGACCTTTTGAATCCTAGCTGCAGATTTTGTTACAAAGGGGGAGGGAAGAGCATTGCTTGAGCATCACTTCCAGAGCAGAATGGGTTTGTCTCTTCTCGGGAGAGGTTTTCTTATCCCACCTTGGGTATCTCAAGAGAAGGCAAGGGAAGCAGACCCTTCCAGCCCCTCTGATTTTCCTCACTCCTTTTTCAGCCTCTGAAGATCTGAGATCCACCTGGCAAGGCAAGGCTGGTCGCAGCCCACTCCAGGCCCTGTATGAGAGTGACCAGGTAAGGGCACAGGGACAGAGAAGTGCTGGGGTGAAGTTTGAGTGGAGCACTGAGTGCTGACCCTTTCTTCTACTCCTCTGGTGTGTGGGGCACTGTGCCAGGTCCAGCCACCCCCAGGGTCCTTGGAGCTGAACCTCTGGCTGTGTCTAAAAGACAAGACCACAGTGCTTGGGGGTGTAGCTTGATAAACACTGCTTATGGCCCTGGCTGGTACTTGGGTAAATGTTTTAATTACCAGTGGGATGAGCCATAGCTGGGAAAACCTGGGAGACTTTGCCATCTGAACATTTCAAAGCCAACTCTGTGCCATCATAGCTGGGCAAGAGCTTCATTGCTGCCCTTCCTGAGCTAATAATTGGCAGATGTTTCTGTGTTAGCTGCTATATATACATGCACACACATAGGAATCTGCACATAAATATGTCTACATAAATATAACTGGACTCAGCCATGGGGGATTTATAATCCTGGAACATCTCAGGCCTCTCCATCACTGAGCTGTGCCAGCTACACCTGCTGAGAAATGAGCAGCCAGGCACAGCCTGGGCAAAGGATCACTCCCCTCCAGGTGGGCTCAGTGGGTCCCTCCCTGTGCAGGAATCAGGGAAGGTGTCCTGCTTACCCCTCACATGCAGCTTACGGTCAGAGCTGTAAAAACTCTTTGTTCCTTTCTGCTACATTTCCCCCTGGGCAGGCAGTTTTCCCCTAATTCAGCCCCACTTCCCTTTTCAGAGGGATCATCACCCACAGCTTCCCTGCAGGAAGCCCTGTGGGAAACCACCCTCCAACGGGTGCCATGCCACGTGCCCAGCCACCAAACGTGCCCTGCATCCCCCTGTGTCCATGGGGCTGTCTTCTGCTGCAGCCCCCAGGAGCAGAGGGCAGTGCTGCTGGCCCCTCAGTGGGCTGCCACCCCTGCTGCCTCCCCAGTGCCCCATGCAGCCAGAGTCAGCTCTTCCCATAAGTGTTGCTTTGCATTAAGGTTGATGCTCTTATGTCTGTAAGCAGCCAAAGTACATTTGCTCTCTGAAAAATTACAAATATGGACTCCCTTGGCCGTGATGCCAGCAAAGCCTGGTGCTGCTGGAATGTCGTGGTGCTATTTCCTTAAAAGTGATACTTAATTTCCCTGGCTTTTAAAGAGAAGGAAATGAAGGGAGCAATTTTGCTCTGAAATAACTGCAAGACATGCATTTATTCCAGTGGGCGGCTGCTGAAAAGTAGTCACATTTATTTGTTGCCATGCCTGCAGACAGTGTCTGTCTGTCTGTCTCTCTGGTCCAATAATTTTGAATTATGCAAGTGCAGGGAAAAACACCTGAAAAAAATCACATTATTAAAATGCCTCTTTTTCTAAGCCCTTGCAAAAAAGGTTTTCCAATTCTAAAAGCTGACAGGGAAGCTCCAAACAAAAGAAATTTCTACTGAAAGGTTTGGCTGTGTTGCAAGGCAGCATGAGAATGCTTCTTCAGCTATGGTTATCACCTCCCTAGGTGCTGTATTTTCTTTGTAGCCTGGTAGCCAACAACATCAGAGTCATACCTTGCTGGCAGTTAGCATCTGTTCACCTGAATTTCCTTCGTTTTGGCATTTTCCCTTATCATATCCCTGTTGGAAGGAGTAAGGATGGGATGCTTTCTCCTGTCCCTGTTTCACATTACTGCCCATACAGGTTCCTGGAGAAAGTGGTCACTAAGGTGACCTGGACAAGGTTATTTGTTTGTGGAAATGAGATCCAAAAGAGTCCTGAGTGTGGTTCATCCCTTGCAGAAGGAGCTGTTTGCCCAGATGTTAGTGTCTCTCTGAGGATGACAGGTCTGCTGGATCACCTACAGGATGGACAGTTTGCTTTAGTGTCCCAACTCCTGGCAGGAGCTTTACAAGCCCTTACAGCTGTCCCTCCAAACACCTCCTTAGCCCCCAGGGAGCAATGAAGGAGCACCTGAAGCCTGGCCAAGGGTGTCCTTCAGCATCCCTGGGCAGTGGCAGCTCTCAGCAGCCATGCAGGCAGCAAGGCCTGCCCTTGCCCTTCATCTGGAGTCACCACAGCTGTACAACTGCAGAGCTGTTTGCTGTGGCACCCTCTGGCACTGGCAGGGCTGTCTTTACAATCCCAAAGTGGGAGCCACTCTGATGTTGGGAGGTGGTGGTCACTGCCTGGCATGAAAGCCACAGCCCTGTGAGGTCAGGGCCACCGCAGGCTGGCGGGTGCTTGGTGCTGCTGTTCCCGGATGAGGCTGTTGGATGTTCCCAGCAATGAGGAACACAAAATTTCCCAGCCCTTGTGAGCAAAACAGGGACAGAGTGGGCAGGAGGAGGAGGGGACCTTCCCCTTCTGACTTCCTGGAAATAGTTTCCTTCCCCAGATGTTCTAATGACATTTTGGGATTTTTGACAAAAACCATGACAGGAGAGGTCACGCCCCCAGATCTGTAAGGAGGTTTTAGCTGGGTCAGGGGTTAAGGGACTCTGGGCTTCTGGTAAGCCAGTGCAGCAGCTGCCAGCTCTTGATGTGAGGGTCAGAGGGGTTAAAGGACCGTGTGTTGGTTCCTCGTCCCTGCGGCCAAAGGAAACTGTGACCAGAGCTGAGGCGTTGGGCTGGCCTGTGTGGAAGAAGTCCCTCAGGAGAAGGAACCCAAAGCCCTCAGGAAGGGCCCCAGCACTACCTACTCAGCCCCTTTCTCCTCTCCATCATACCTGCCACCCCACCTCATCTCCAGCTCCCCTCCTGCTCACCAGGCTTTGATCATCAGCGTTAGAGACCATTTCCATTTGCCTCTCCTTGGCAGGACACCCAGGCCATTTCCATCCAGCATTCCCAAATGTTCTGCCACATTTCTGCCCTTGGCTGGGTGTTCACAGCAAGCACATGTGTGGGAGTCAGTGTGGGCAGCAATGCCTCATTGCAGCAGGAGGTGTGCAGGGCCCTGTGCCAGCAATCAGTCTGTGCTTTCTGCCCCTAGGGCTGTGCATCCCCCCAGACTGGTGTGAGGGAGGGCACGTTAGCCCAGTGTGTGTGTCTGCTTTTAAAAAAAAGCTCTGTTACTGACCCTCTCTGCACCACCCCTTCTTCCCTCACCCCCCTTCGATTTTTCTCCTCATCCAGCTCCTCATCACATTTTGTCCTTTCTTTTGATGCCAGCCTGTCCAAGGATTAAGTGCACCAAACCAAGATGTGTTCAAAGCGAGTGCTGTCTCCAAAATCCCACATGGGTGACTGACCAACCCAGCAAAGGGGAGGCAGTGGGGACAACTGTGGGCCAAGTGTTGTGTGTAGGCCACAGGAGAGGCAGTGGGGACAACTGTGGGCCGAGCGTTGCATGTAGGCCACAATCAGCTTGGGCAAGCCAGTGACCATCTCTGTTGGGTTTTTCCTCCCCAGTTTGAGCAGTCGTCCCTGCAGGCAGTTCACCAGCAGAGACGGGAGATGTTGAGCAACATCTGCAGCCGTTACACCCGCAAGCGGCGTCTCCTGCGGCCGGACGACCTGCGGCACTTGGTGGTGGACGACACCCACGGGCTGCTCTACTGCTACGTGCCCAAAGTGGCCTGCACCAACTGGAAGCGGGTGATGATGGTCCTGACGGGGCAAGGCAAGTACCGGGACCCTCTGGAGATCCCCGCCCACGAGGCCCACGTGCCCTCCAACCTGCGCACCCTGTCCGAGTACAGCGTCGCCGAGATCAACGCCCGCCTGCGCACCTACCTCAAGTTCGTCTTCGTGCGGGAGCCCTTGGAGCGCCTGGTCTCGGCCTACCGCAACAAGTTCACGCTCAGCTACAACACGGCCTTCCACAAGCGCTACGGCACCAAGATCGTGCGGCGGCACCGGCCGCAGCCCAGCCAGCGCGCCCTGGAGCGCGGCGACGACGTGCGCTTCGAGGAGTTCGTCTACTACCTGCTGGACCCACGCACGCAGCAGGAGGAGCCCTTCAACGAGCACTGGGAGCGGGTGCACTCGCTCTGCCACCCCTGCATCATCCACTACGACGTGGTGGGCAAGTACGAGACCTTGGCCGAAGATGCCAAGTACATCCTGCAGCTGGTGGGGGCCGACGCCAGCGTCAAGTTCCCGGCCTCGTCCAAGACCACCAGGACGACGGACGACATGACGGCCCAGTTCTTCCAGGACATTAGCCCCTTCTACCAAAGGAGACTCTTTAATTTATACAAAATGGACTACTTGCTGTTCAATTACTCCATCCCCTCGTACCTCCGCCTCCGGTGAGGCAGGGGCTGCGGGGAAACAGGTGAGGGAGAGCTGGATAACTCTCACCTTGCCACAATTCCTCTCCTTCTGCCTTGAGCTCGTCTCTTGGTTGACTTCTTCCCTGTGCCCATTTGTTAGGGTCTGCTCCACCTCCTGATGCCTTGTTTGTGCATGTTCTGGAGGAAGAACACTTCTCAATACACTGGGGCTGGAGCTTTTCCTTCCCTTTCCCTCACAGCCTTCAGTATCTACAGGGAATGGTGGTGGGACTGGACACTTCTTGCCTTGGTTGGGGACTTTCTTGTAACTAAGAAACTCCTCTGTAGATCCAAATCTTGGGAAGGCTCCTTTTTCGGGCAGGATCCCTTCAAGTCTTTCTCCTCCTTACTGGGCTGTTTGGGGGCAGACATGGAGTCTCAGGGGTCAGAGTGGAGTGTATCAGAGACTTGCATAGAACCAGAAATAAAGCAATAATTTAATGTAACTTTTTCCTTTTATTTAAAATTCCTCCCACCTTTTCTTTTTGTCTTGTTCTCTTCTTGTCCTTCATGCCATCCCTCCTGAGGAGGATATAACACAGAGAGGTGTGTTACTCTGACCACATTTTTATACCTGGAGGGAATTTTTGTTCCTCTCCTTCCACGTGTTCTCAGTTGGGGTGCAAAATACTCCAAAGATAGAGAGGAAAGGCTTGCAGCAGGTCCTCAGTGCTTTCCCCTGAACTACCACAGCAGAGTGCCTGTGTGTGCATGTCTCTGGATTTCTGGTCAAATCCATTAAACCCAGGCCCCACACCTCCCATTTTTGAAAGCAGGTGACAGCAGTTGTGAAGCCATACAGAGTGTATGGGTGCAGGTGTCTCCTGTGTGCAGCCCCTTTAAAAAAGTTATAAAGTGTTTGGGGGAACACTGGGCTGGGATGTGGGAGATTGCTGTGGTAATGGAGAGGTCATGTTGGATTGAGAGGCCAGAAAAGTCTGTGTGTATGTTTGTGTGTGTGTGTGAGAGAGAGAGAGAGAGAAAAAATTGAGGATAAAAACAGGGAGAGAGACACCTAGAGGGAAACAGTCCTTTTCCTGGTTGCCTTTGGATAATCATTCCTTGAAGAAAAAACAGGGAGGAGGGAGTGAAACACAAAAGAAAATGACAAACCAAGCCCTAGGATTTTAAATTAAAGCCAGTCCATATTTCAGTTTTTTCCTCTTTTCTGTTTGGCTTTGGCTTGCTGGCTGCCTTTGTAAATAAACACACTGGTAATAGATGCTGTGGAGTGTGTCTGCTGGCTTGGCTGCAAACACTTGACTTATTAGTGCAATACAATGGGAGGTTTTATGAAACCACAGTGCTCTCAGTATCTGTAAAAAAATGGTGTTTCCATCTAACAACTTTCAGCTGTTATATCTTAACCTTTTTCCTCTCTGCCTCTGACTGGCATCTATATGCTGACACTCCCTCCTTGCTTGCTCCACTGGAGATTGGCTTTAGCAAAGCAATGAAAAAGAAAAGTAAATGAAGCTGCTGGTGATGCTGGCAGTGTGACTGATTCTCCCAATCTGCACTGGAGATCTTGAAGAAATGTCCTTTCTCATGCTGTCTTGGTATCTCCCTGTCTAGCTGAAACACAAAACACAAAAACAGATTATATGATGCAACAAATTTCATCTGCAGAGTTCAGGCTTGGAGTGCATTCCTCCTGCTTTCTCAGGAGTCTTGTGCTCCCTGCTTAGAGCTGCCTCTGCTTGGAAAACATCATTGTTCAAGTCACTGCAAGATCTTTTCATTGCTTGTGGTCATGAATCATAATTTGGGGTCAGATGCAGGGTCATAAATGGATGGATTTTTGGATGTTTTTTTGTTTTTATTTTTCCTAAACACGGTTCCCTGCCAGTACCTCTAAAGAGCTGATGGCACAGTGAGTGGCAAGGACAGAAATGCTCAGTCCCAGCTGTGCTGTCTGTGGGTGTTTGGACAATATCTGGCTGGCTGGGAGCTGCTTTGGTCTTTCTTTGGTGTGAAAGTGAGGGAACAGAAGCCTCTGGGCTTTGTTCTTCAGCCAGGTGGTTTCTAATCTTTCCTGCAACAGTGGCAAAGGGGAGGTGGTCCCAGCTGTGAGGGGCTGTGTGACTGGCAGCCTGTCCTGGCATCCCCATCAGACCTGACCCACTGACCCAATCAACAGCCCAGCCACAATGGACCAAATGCAGCCCTGCAGCCTTGGCTGTGAGCTTCTGAAAGCAGGACCCTGTAAAGGTGTGCTTGGGTCATGTAGGACCTTTAGAAATACCCACCTTTGGGCTGTTTCTGTAAAATCCCCACAGACAACATCCACAGTCCAAACCATTTAGATCATACCCTTGGCTTCCTCTCTGCCTAAACCCAAAGCTTTCCAAAGGAAAACCTAACCATGCAAACAGAAAAGGGGCACTTTGTATTTCTGAAGCAAACACTTTCAGCCTGGGCTGGAGCTTTTTGGGACAGAAATCTCTCAGCCCGTGCCAAAGCTGGATTGCTGGAACTGGGATGCTGCGGGATGGGGCCAGGATGCTGTGAGGCCAGGATGCTGTGGGGTTAAGATGCTATGGGGTCAGGATGCTGTGGGGTTGGGATGCTATGGAGTTGGGATGCTGTAGGGTCAGGATGCTGCGGGGCTGGGATGCTATGAGGTTAAGATGCTATGGTGTTGGGATGCTATAGGGTCAGGATGCTGTAGGGTCAGGATGCTGTAGGGTCAGGATGCTGTGGGGTCAGGATGCTGTGAGGTTAAGATGCTATGGGATCAGGATGCTGTAGGGTCAGGATGCTGTAGGGTCAGGATGCTGCGGGGCCGGGGCCGGCAGCCGCCGCCCTCGCCGCAGGCACGGTCCGACCCTTCCCGGTCCCACGGAAAGCGCTGGAGGACGGGAGCAGGACGGAGCGAGGAGGACCCCGTGTGACCGGAGATCCCAACTACAGGCGGTGAAATTCCCAGTACGGGTGCTGGGAACCATTTCTCTGAGGGCTCCCGGTTGGTTGGGCTTTTCATACTGTTTCACTGCGTCCCTTTTTCTTTTTAGAGGAAGAAAGCATCAAGGACACCTGAGCCATTCTAAAGTGTGACTGGATTTGGTTTTCTCCTCCACTTGGAGGTGGGGATGTGGCACTGAAGAGAGGACCATGGCAGTAATGTCCCCCAGCCCCCTGAAAGGGTCCCACCCTGGCCTCAGGCTGCAGAGCCTCTGAATGAGTCAGGTTGGTCCTGGAGTCTGGCCCAAGGCTTGGGAGCTACTGGGGAGCTCCCAGGGACACAAGAAACAAGAACAGCCTCACTTTGATCCATTCATGTGTGCACAAATACACAGTGAAAATAGTGATTATATTATAATGTATAATAGAATTACTGCTGGGTGAATCTACATATTATATAGTGATTGCATTTGTATATGGTCATAATACTTAATAGACATTTGGCTCATGTTTGTCTACATATGTGTAGACAAATATGTGCACCATCCCACTTATTATATAAATACTCATATACTCCCCAGCATAAAAGAGAGAGTATCTTCTCTTGCTGCACTGTTGAGCTTTGCCACATCCCAGCATGGCTCAGGAGTTAATGAAGAGCCAGCCCTTCCTCCCAGTGCCTCCAGCAGCTCCAGCCTGGTGAGAGCTGAGCACTCTGCCGTGCTCTGGGTTTGCTGGGCTGTGCAGCTCCTGGCCCCATCCCTAATGGCCCATGTGAAGCTGTTGAGTTTCTCCTTCCAGTGGAACAAAATGGAGCTTCAGTGATCAGGAGGTTTCCTTCCAGACTTTCCTGTGCACCACAGATTGGGTTGTTTACCAGCTGGAGGATTAAAGAGACTGTCATTGAAGAGAAAAAAAACCAAAACAACTGTATTCAAGTATGTCTTGGAAGCAGTGTCTCCCTTGAAGGAGGCTTTTCAGACTTACTGTGTTTGCTGGCTGGCACTTTGCTTGTCCCTGGTAAGGAAGCTCCATCTCACAGAGAGTTTCTGGAAAATTACTGTGTTAGGATGGAGGCAGTGAGTGGAAGCAGTGGGGGGAGAAAAAGAAATGATTTGACTATCCCTGAAAACAAACCCCTGCTACCATCTTCATCTACAGATGGTGGCAGCCCCTCCTTTGCCTGCAAAGAAAAACCCTCATGCACCCAGGAATGGGGGAGCCCCTGCCTGCCCTTCCTCCCCAGAGTGTTCATCTGGGATCTCCCCAAGGCCCCAGCAGCCACCCCAGCACCCCAACACCTGGGGTGCTCCAGGGCAGGCACCCACCCCTCCCAAACTCCAGTGCTCTTCCTCAGCCCCATCCCACAACCCTGACATGAGCCTGAGATTTAATTGGGGCATGAACCTGAGATTTAATTGGGGCACAACTCGTGGTCTGGAGTGAACCTGCCTGCACTGCTAATACAGAGGGAATAGAACCATGGGACACTAAAAAAATTATATCTATTCTTTCACTGCCCACTACTAGAGTCTAAATTGGCTGCCTGATGGCTGCACAGGGTTCAAAACAAGCCAATCTCATTCTCTGCCAACTCTCCACATTTTCCTTTATTCCCTCTAAAGATTACAGCAAGGTAAGCCTTCCACAAGCCTCTCACAGCACTGGGTGGGTGTCTCAGTCCAGGACCAGCACTGAGCCCAAAGGGGCAGCTCAGCAGCCAAGGACCACAGAGCACCACAAAGAAACTCTTCTTCCAACTCCTCCTTTTTTAAGGCTGTTCCTTATCTGGGAGCTGTGAGGACTAAATGCAAATAAAAGTCACTGTTGGCTGAATCTGAGGTGCTGGTGTCTCTGGCAGGGTGGGTCCAGCCCAGTGACAAGCTGGGCTCAGTAGTGACACAGGCACAGCAGCAGAGAAGCCAGGCTGGCAGGGATTTCCCTGCTGGGTTAGACAGAAATCCCAGTGAAATGTCCCCACCCTGTCTGGGCTCTCCTACCCACACAAGTCTGCTCTGAAACTGAAATTTGTGGAAGAAAAGGGAGTGAAACAACCCCATCCCCAAATCTTCTCTGGCCAAATTGCTCCAACACAGCACCATAGGGAGCATAAAGCCAGGTAGGGCCTGCTGTGATGTACTGAAAATTCTTAGAAGCTGAGGAGCCTGCAGGTATTTAAGCATCAAATTTCTGATTTTAAGGGAAGGGAGAGGATGCCTGGACAACTCAGGGGCTTCTGGCAACTGGTGCCAGGGGACAGAGCAGTACTGCCCACTCACTGGAAGGGCTGGGGGTGCTTTCTTAGAGGAGCAAGTTCAGACAGAGTCACAGGAATGCTGATCCAAGCTGTGCTTTGGGGTTACATATTAGCTTTGTTAGCAAAGACCCTTTCTCATTTGCACAGACAAGAAAAAAAGAGGAAAGAGTAAACAGGCTGAGCAGCCAAATAACTAGCCTCTCACTGCCCTTATTAAAAAAAAAAAAAAGGAAAAAATCCCTTTTTATTGAAACCATTTCCTTTGGTTATATCATTTCTC